GGAGAAGAGTCTCCTCGATCTATCTCTAAGTATTTAACTTTTCATGTACACATTGTAACTATTATTTCAGGGAAATCATTTTATGTAAGGCAAAAGGATTGTTGGGAGGAATGTTTTTTCATTTCTTCGGTATTGCAGCTCTAGTTTCAGAGGCCATAAAAAAAAAAAAAAAACCCTAGATTTCTTATTTGTCTTGCGTAAACACATTTGATTTCACATGCCTTTTAAGTTTAGAATTGATTGTGCATGATGTCATGTTATTTTGGAGCATATCTGTGTAGTTTATGAAATGCAGATGTGGCTCTTTCAAAAAGCATGAATGTGTGTCTATGTGCATGTAAATGCTTCTGATAGCTTTTTTCTCTCCTTTTTTTTTTTTTTTTTTTTCTCCCTGTCATTTTACTTCATTTTTCTTTTACAGGCAGCTGTTCAGACGAAAAAACCAGGATTTGATAGTTCCAAAGTATGCTGCCCAGAGCTTTCTTTAATCCTGTCAAACATGCATAAAGAAAATGTTGTGTAATAAGCCTTCTTACATGTTACTATTATTTACCATCTTCCATGTGCAGGCTTTTACAGGATCCATAGTGGAGCATGCTCAAAATTTACAGGTATTGCAAAGACAACCGGGAACTTCTTCACAGGTATTGCTGCTCTTGCACCTATTGGCAATGACTTTCAATGATTCTAGTAGTTTTTTCATTAATTTCAATCCTTATAACCTATGACTTTGGTTTTGTCCTTCAGTCATTGGGTCCTCAACCTTCAAAGCCGATTTCTAGATTCAAGATGCAGAGGAAGTAGCTTCGCGTGGTTCAAACTTAGAAACCCTGGAAAGTCAAGGAAATTTACCTTCCCTTTTGCGTTTTTGTGTTACATTAACTATTCCAAAAATTTGAGCGCTCATGTCATGATAAAGTTGTATGTTGCAATGTAACATTTTCACTGAGCACCCTGTTGAAAGTATGTTGAATGAAATGCTTGCCATTTCCAAATTCTGTTATCTCTGATTGGAATGCGTTTGGATGGTTGAAAATTAGGAAAAGAAAAACACAAAACAACATACTGCACGTCATTCTAAAGAATCAGAGTTGTACATCTGATATTGATTCTAATATTGTAACACCAAATCACTTCCCTCAAGAGTATGAGTGTCATACAAGGAGACACTATCTGACCTCTATTGTTCTCTTCTTTCTCTTCTTGAAGTTTTCAAGCACTATTTCCCTCTCCACAGGTGTGGCAGATAGTACCCATTTGCTAAATTCAACCACATCCATGCCCTTGAAATCGGCTAGAAGACCATACTGAATCTTTTTGCGGTCCCTGGCTGGGAGAACATTTTCCACACGATCTGGTTTCCTTTTTTGCCTTTTTCCTGCAACGCAGGTGTCTGGTCTTCGGTCATCATCCGGAGCAAAGTTCACTTCCTTCTTCTCTTGAAACCCAGGTCCACTGTTGACTATGTCTTCGTTTCGATGAAAATACACGATTCCTGAAGATTAAAAGTCTCGGTAAATGTTCTAATAACAATCAACATTTCAAATTATTTTATGTAAAATTTAAAAGAAAAAAGACCATCTTCCAACAATCTCAATAAATGCAGAGCCCATCTTTGAACAATCATAAGCCATCATTCATTGACTGCTAAAAATCAAACCAGAGGATAATGGCCAACTGCCATACTAAATGATTAGAAGAAAAACACAGCAAACTAGAATTTAGTAGTTGGTACTTGGTACAGCTAGTGGCGGAAAAGGGAAAGAATGAATGATAGTTACATACCTAAGTCTTCAAGGCCTAGTTCATTAGTAGCAGTCCTCTCCGATTCACTAGGCTGCATGGTCTTGGGCCTAGAGGAAGATGTTACTCCAGTCAGTTCCTGCTTATTGCCGCAATGGTCTACTTCTTGTCCTTGTTTTTCATGTAATTCAATAATTTCACTTGTAAAGAGTTTATCAGAAAGATCACGAAACAGATTGCAGATTCCAAAAAGCTCTCCTTGAAATTCCTTGCAGTCCTAAAAGGTAGATTAGAAGTTAGAGAATCCTGTAATTATCATCAGTAAAAAGTCAACAAACAGGAGTCCTCATGTTTTTCAAATGGCTTGACCCTAGTTTGTTCAGAAGAATGAAGGGCTTTCTGTCACCTAAGACATGTATCTGGACTACTTCCAATGCAAAAGTCAAAAAGACTTCACAACCAACAAAGACAAAAAAATGAAGGAACTCGAAAGAATGATGGGGACCAAGCTTCTTTATTAGATTTATTTAACAGTTTCAGCAACAGAATAACATGACAGTAATTGAACTCTAAGCTTGCCAAGGAAACAATATAATGTGTATGAATTGGTGTACTTGAGCTAAACAAGAACTTATATATATACCTGAACCCCTTCAAAATACCGTTTTTCCATTTTTCCAGAGACAGCAATGTTGGATAGCTGCTGTTTATACACTTGGCGAGAATATACAAGTTCCTCAAGAGAACCAGCTGCAAGGAGGCGGAAAACCACAACATGTCGCTTCTGCCCAAACCGAAATGATCTGTCTTGGGCCTGTAAATCTTGAGATGGATTCCAATTTGGATCAAATATCACCACACGATTTGCACTCACAAGGTTCAATCCAAGCCCACCAGCTCGGGTGGATATAAGGAACACCTAAAAGACATAAAACAGTTAACAAAATTTCTCATATACACCCTATGCATACTTATTTAATTTCAAATTCACCTGTTTGCTTGGACTTGAGTTAAATTCATCAACAAGAGACTGGCGCATGTTGGTTGGAGTAGATCCATCAAGTCTTGAGAAGCAATAGCCTTTTCTTATAAGGAATTTTTCCAATATGTCCAGCATCCTGGAAAAAGCAATTCAACATCATAAGAAAAAAGGGAAAAAACATATGCAAGCAGCAAGTTGCATAAAAGTAGGACATAAATTTAACTGTGATGCTTGTTTTTTTGTTTTTTACTTTTATTTTTAATTTTTGGGCCTACAATAGCAACGTTTTCATTAAAAAACAAATACAACGTTCAATCGCCAGAATCTCAGCTATATCTATGAATATTTTATGATGAAAAAATGTTCCACCAGAAAAGAAATAAAAGAAAAAGAATACCCTCTTAAAAAAATTTCAAAATAAATCAATTGGCCAGGTAGTTTTCCATTGGAGACTGTAGTCTGAACTAAATTACCAGATCAACTTCCATAAACTTCACTCAAAGCACAACATTTTCTTTTCTCTAGTAGCCTCACCAAACTAAATGATTTTTTAAGAGAAAAATGTGGCTATGGTCATTTGAAATTCTGAGAGTTAGACCAAATGCTAATATCTAATGCAGTGGCTCCAAATACACCCTATATCTAACTTTAAGATTCACAATTGGACTCATGATGTTCTTATCTTCAGATAAATTAATAAATATAAACCAAGCAAAGGAGAAGTTACTTCCTCACTAATGTCAACAAAAAAAAGAAACTATTTTTCCTTTATAGCCTTGGGGAATTTCTCCCTCGCACTACTCCATGAAAGAAAATCAATGTCGAAAATTGTCACTTCCAAGCTGCTGTTACATAAATAATAATAATATGAACTTCAATAGTGTTATGAGGATTTGAGAGATTTGAGAATATTTCTCAATTTTCTAAACTTGGCAAGCAGTTAATATATGCCTGATATGATGATAGAGTTTTATTTGTTACAGTACATATGAATTTTTTTTGGCTAATGTATATTGACAATTAAAAATTGTGTATTAGCAAAATCTAAAGATGATGCAGTAGGGAATACTGACTTTACCTTACAGAGTAACTGAAAAGAAGAATTTTATCACCCTTTAAAGCCCAAGAGGTCATTAATTTTTCTAGGGCCCGCATTTTGCCACAATGTTTAGCATCACTCAAGCCCATAAAACTCTCAGTCTGGGTACTCCCTCCCACCAAATCAACATCAGGACCAAACACAGCTGAGGCAAACTCTATGTCTTTTCTTTGCTTATCTGGTTCATCCCTAGGATTAGGTTTAATAAGCTCCAGGTGATTGCTTATCTGCAATACAGCGCAAAATTCTAAGCAAGATAAGAGACTAGAAATCATCCAACCTAACTACGGAGACACTCATTTTTATAACATTAAGTAATAAACTTAGCTCTCTTGGCAGACCAGTTATACAAGCAAAGAATAGAACAATTCCAAAATGACAGCTTCATAACACTAAAAAGGGTCCAAAACAATGTAATTCCTTAATGCCTTTAACTTTGAGAATAGACTATAGGATGTTTGCCATGAAATGGAACCAGAAAGGAAAATCTAAACCTTGCTTTTAAGTTGAGTCAAAAAGTATAAAGTTCCTATGAACTTGCACCAGAACATAAAGCGTAAGTCTGGACTGAGATACACACTTACTGCATTACATCTTCTCCTTTGTTCAGAGAAATTTCTTGTTTCCAATTCAACAGACAATCAAATTGATTTAATATTTTATTACTTCACAGCCAGTCTTTCTGTCATACCTTGTGGTTTTGACTATAATTCCAACTGCTAAAAACTATCTATATGTGCAGATATTTGCCTCTAGATTTTATGCAAGTTCTCTATAGATTAGAAACAATTTAAAGGTAACATTTTCAGAATGCATAAATGCTCCAGTTCCTAGATGTATGTAGCAAAAAAAAAAAAAAGGGGGGGAAGGAACTCATTAACCTGTTGGAGCTTGACAAGGCAAGGAAGGACAAGACAGAATGGGCATGAATCACAACCATCTGGGTTATCCCTGTGAAGGTATGGCCAGATAATCCCATTTGGTACGATCCTGTTACAACATTCCACTTGGGTAAGAGGGCTTCCACAGCTACAAGGAATGTCCTTGTTTATAAGACATTGGACATCTGGCAGCTGCAACACTCTCCTATACACCCGTTTTTGCAATTCACCCATTGCACAAAATACAACATTATCTTCTTTTCCCATCATAAGATGCCCAATAGTCTCCTCTTTTGTCCTTCTCAGCATATATTTACGAAGAATTGATACAAGGTGCTGTTTCCGTTTACCAGCAACCTGCACAAATCTTTCGGGAGCAGTTGACCTCTGGCCTTGCTTGAGGGGTTCATCATAAAACTCACGAAAATGTTCACGTGTTCCTAAGGATCCAGGAGCAACCCAGTCAAAGAGGTTGAACAGTTCCATGATTTTGTTCTGCATAACAGTTCCTGTGAGACCAACACGTTTACGAGTCTTAATATCCAAAAATGCTGTATAGAGTTTTGACTTTTCATTCTTTAGACGGTGTGCCTCATCAACAATCACAATCTCCCATTTGACATCTGACAAAATGTTCCCATGAATTCTGAATGTGTCAAAACTGGTAATAAGTACCTCAACTCCATTGCCTTGTAGCTTCTCAAAAATCAGATCACGATTTGAACCATGGTAAATAGAAACAATAAAGCTTGACCATATAGAGAATTCACACTCCCAATTGTGGATGACAGAAGAAGGGCAGACAATTAATACAGGGCCCTTCTTGTCAAGTTGTTTTTCCTTCAACATTATGGAGCGACCATATTCACCATCTTTTTCAAATACTGCAGCAAGAAATGCTATTGTCTGAATTGTCTTGCCAAGTCCCCTGTAAACATTTTTTAGGAAAAAAAAAAGGGAGAAAACTCTTAGTCTTTGTAAAAATGCTAATAAAGAATCACTCATGCAACTCCATCGGCATAAGACTACCACACATTTAAGAATTATATTTGACATGAAATTTAAGAACTGTTCTATGATAAGCAAAGCCAAGGATCATCCAAGCAACCTCTGGCTATACCATGGAAACTACAAGGTTAAGGTATTAATGATAATGAGTAAAAACCTATACGTTAACAAAGCACGAGCACTTGGGCCATGAACTGGTTAAAAGTGTTGCAGGAAGACATTCAAATAATATATAAATTATAAAGAGTGAATAAAG